GACGGACGGACAGACAGACATGGCTTAATCGATTTCTTTTTTCATCCTGATCATTTATGTATACATTTGTCTATATCTATCTCGATTCGTTTTGGCTGTTACAAACAACCGTTATGTGAACAAAATTAATATACTCTTGTGCACAAGTGCGCTCGGGTAGAAAAAGACAAAATCGGTCAAAATATCGCAATTCTTTTATTTTGTGGACCACTATATGTGTGTACATACCTAGCATATAAGTTCTTATGCATTGAGTGCAAAAGAGTGTATTTTAGTACAAAACGAAATGAAATTTTATGTTCCTAAATATCTTTTGCTTAGCACCATATAAAAAGTGTTTTATGTAATGTACATAAATGTGATATATGTACATATATTTTTACACATACATATGTATGTATGTACATATATGTGTATGTAATGTTGCATAACAAGCCAATTAATTCAATTATTTCTTTTCTTTAGTTTTTTAAACTCCGTGAAATGAACTGATTTTATGAATTAATACATTTATTTGTATTTTTTATGGAATCGGCATCGGCATCGGTACCTGAAAAAAATTGGAATCGGTCGGACTCTAGTAAGATTACTGATTAGTGCTCGGATTAAGGAATTTTAATTTCGCAATAGATCAGAGAAAAAATTGGAGTAGACTGAAAAGCTCCAAAGTAGATCCAATGCAATTATAAGTGAAACAAGGAAAAAGGTCTAAGTTCGGGCGCAGCCGAACATTAGATACCCGGCGTAAGTATTAAATGTAGCTTTTTCACCTTTCGTACAACTAACGCTACATTGAATGCCGGGTGGTTTCATCCATATTTCCAACATCTTTGATAAACTTTCCAAAATTCCATAATAATGTTACTTATTTTCAAGGGATTGTTGTTAGTATCAATTTTGTGTAAATTAGCGTCCTTAAATTTCGAAATATCAAAGTTTCAAGCATTTCTGAAATTTACCGTTATATAAAAAGTGGGCGTATGTTATTTCCGATTTCAATAATTATCAGCATTTTGGTAGAAATTGCTCAAACGGTTACTGAGATATACATATGTGGTCACAAGTAGGCGGTGCCACGCCCATTTTCCAAAATTTTATCATAAACGTATTTTCCGTTTAAGAATTATTACAAACATCAAATTTGAATAAATTAGCTTCGGTATTTACTGATTTATCGAAGATTTCGTATTTCGTATATTTACCGTTATATGGAATGTGAGCGTGGTTATTGTCCGATTTTAAGAATGTTCAGCCATTTTGTATGTTATACCAAGACCAACAACCGTGCCAAGTTTGGGGGAAATTGGTGGAGCGGTCACCGAGATATACACATGTAGTCATAAAAAAAAATGTATAATATTCTTCTAAAAATTATTGTAATTATAAATTTTGAGTGAATAAGCTTTAGTAGTTACAAAAATATCGCAGCTTTCGTATTTCTGAAAACTACCGTTATATGGGATATAGGCGTGGTTTTGGTCCGATATTGCCCATTTTCAATACCATCCGTCCTACTGCTCAATTACGAACGGTAATTCATCGGAGAAAACCAATTTCGGCAATTTACCACTTTAAGCTAAACGAAGCAACACTTTGGCTCTTTCGAATCTAACTTTTTTTCTTCAGCGTTGTTAAGATCTCTTTTTGGAACTTCAATCCGCGATATGTTTAGCTCTTTTGCCATTTGATTTCGCTCAATTCGGTTCTTCAATTTACAAATCATTTCTGGTGTTGTTACTCTCTTTTTTGGTTCAGTTCCTAGGCGCCGGGCAACGCTACCAGTATCACAATAGTAAGCTATAGTACGAGAAACAAATGATTTATTCATATTTAGGTGTTGAAGGCTCGAACAATGGTCATTTGCGATTTTCTCGCCAAATAAAAAACAATCACACTATTACGTTTAAGTTCTATTACGTATAACTGTAATTTTCCTTCACAAAAATCAAAATGCTTTCGCGGGTTTCGTTATGAAACAAAACAATGAAGTGTAGTTTCTCCTTATTGGTTTGTCAGTTACATCGGTGTGAAGTTAGTTTTATTTTTTGTCAGCCAACCTGTTTTTTTTATTTGATTTACATATATGTTTTACTTTACTTTACTTTATTTTATCTTATTTCGCATCACTTATGTTATTATTACTTTATCTTTATTTTTGGTATAATTGAGTAAAAAAAATAATAAAAATTAAATGAAAAATCTACTGACAGCGGGACTCGAACCCACGAACTAGCGGCTCGTTAATCCACATTACTGCCGTCTGTCAAGTCAAAATTTTTATCAGATAAACTGCGCCGTTAATCAGGATCGACGTTGCCACGTCTGTCTATGCTTTAAGAAAAATTGCTTTAGTGGTCGACTATTTTGCAGGATGAAGTAGAATTTTTTTAGTATAAAGTAATTGTAGAAGAGTCCGAACACTGCTTCAGGTACTATTTTAGTAAATTATAAGAATACTAATACACTGTCATAAGAGCGTAAAAAATTAAAGAGCGCAGCTTTTATAATTCTCTTAGCATATGCGTTAGCGACAGCTATATTTGTGCGTGTATGTAGTCGACTTCGTTAATAACCCCAAGCATGAGCAACAAAATAATGGTGAAGTACAATATTTGCTTGCCGCCGTGGTATATCCCATATGGTCTAGTGGCTAGGATATCTGGCTTTCACCCAGAAGGCCCGGGTTCGATTCCCGGTATGGGAATTTGACTTTTTTATTTGTTTAATATTTTTTTTTGTTTTAATTTTTTTTTATATTAATTAAATAATTTCTTTTTAACAAAAATACTTGTATACACGTATGTGTATATACTTAGATATGCATATGTATGTACATACATACACACCTACTCGTAGGTCTAACGTCACGATATTTTCTTGTCGTGCGCTTCGTATGAAGGCCGTTTTATAGGTTTCTTCTATTTCATTAATTTGTTGGGAGTATTTATGTATGGATGTGCAAGAGTCACGACAAAGAGAATAAAATGATGTAGTACACACAGTATTATTAAAATCGTAAATTTTTTAACAGGTACCGTAATGGTTATGATATTAATAATAAAAAACTTAATTTAAGCATTAAAATTGGATTCCAATTTTTTCAATCATAATATAACCGCTTTTTTCAAATTTAATTTTTTAGACCATAAAAGATTTAAAGCGATCAAAATACCACAGTCTCTACAGTAAAGGCTAAAAATAAACGAAAAAATTAAATTCCAAAAAACGATTATTTTTGATCGAAGAAAACCATTAAATTTGACAGAAAAAATTTAGGAGTGTCGTTAATTTCTTCATAATCCAATGATCGGCTCTAAAACAAATTAGTATGGGAACACCCTAGCAACACCACGTTTCCGAATTATCGAAATCGGTTTGCGTGGTCCAAAGTTATGCGGTAATATATGTACATAAAAAAAAAAAAATATTTATAACATTCTCCATTTTTGCAGCCGGTTTAAAATAAAAATCTAAATTTGAGCCGTTTATTTTGAAAATGACTTAAGT